ACTTAAGCAAAACATTTCGTTTTATTTTCAAAAATATTCTTTTAGCCACAGACATTGCAGAACATGTCATAAATGTTTTTAAAAGGAGTAATAGAAATGAATGTTATAGTTAATAGGAAATAAGTCCGTAAGATAATAGTATCCCCATTAATTCTTTTAGAGTTGATCGATTTATTAGCATGTCTACAGTTTACGTGACGATCACTTCCAGTCCCATATTGCTCTATTTTCAATTAGAATAATTTTTTACGTTGATTTGCTGTCTCTAACAACAGGTATTTTGTCTTCTTGTTGCTTTGTATTCCTTACTTTTCTATGCGATTTGAGAATATCGTCGTCTGTTTTTGAAGAACTTGTAATATATTGTACATTTAAAAATATTTGTGAAAAAATAGCAAAACAAACCCAGATTTTTCGAAACGGAAAAATTTCTAGGATTGACTAAGCGGAAAAAGTGATGATTCACAGGTGATGGATCCAAGACAATATACTAGCACTTATAATATTGAAAAGAAAAGGAAAATTGTTTATAGGAAATGTAATGAACGTTATTTATCATTTGGGTTTACTTGGAATGGAGATGAAAAAACTCTCAACTTCAATGTGTTGTTGCGGTGAACTATAATCCAGTCAAAGTATGAAACCTTCGTTTCTTAAAAGACATCTTAAATCTAAGCAATTTGAAAGCTAAATCTGAAGAATATTTTAAGAGGAAATTATCGGAATTCAAAATTAGTAAACAAGTAATGTAAGGTTTGTTACTTCAAGAGAAAAAGCTTTGGAAGATAGTTACCTAGTAAGCCTAAGAATTTACCAGCCTGGGCAGGCTCACACTATTCGGGAAAACCTTATATTACCAGCAGATAAAGATATTGTTTTAACATTATTCAACGAAAAAACGGCTAATGAATTTAATAATATTCCGTTATCAAATTGCACAAATAAGTCAAGGAATTCATGAAATGGCAAATTCCATAGAAGAAACAGTTATTCAAAAAATAAAACACAGTTAGTTTTTCGAATTGCAATTAGATGAAATTACTAATGTAACGAACTTTGTTCAATTATTAGTTTACATACGTTTTGAAGAAGATGAACTAATTGCCAATGAATATTTATTTTGTGAATCTCTTCATGATACAGCAAATGAAATTTTCAAAGCAACTAACAGTGATATTACTTGGAGTAAGTGCATTGCCCTATGCAGTAACCGAACTCGGGTTTTAACAGGAAAAAACATTTCGGTGTTTTTTTCTCAAAAGACAGTCGTACCTGAAACTAAATTTAATCATCGCTCCGATTCATCGTGAAGCTTTAGTAGCCAAAACAATCCCAGAAAGCCTGAAAATCGTTTTGAATCAAGTTGTGAAACGTCATTAATTTTATTAAAAGCCGAGCTTTAAATTCCAGAATATTTACAATTTTATGCCAAGAGATGAGCAGTGAATATGAAACGCTTTTGTTACATGCCGAAGTAAGGTGGTTATCCAGGAGCAACGTTTTAAATAGTCTTTTTGAACTTTGATCAAAAATTCAAATTTTCCTCTGTTATTCAAAATTTGAATTGCAAAAATGTTTATTCAGTGAATTATGGTTGGCGCGTTTAGCATATTTAGCTGATATTTTTGGAAAGTTAAATGAATTAAATTTAGGATTACAAGGACAAAGTGACTATTTGTTTACCATTAGACATAAAATAAATGCAATGATAAAAATCTCGAGTTAATTATCAAAGAATTAGCTGTAATATTTTAAGCTTTTTACCACTCTTAGAAAGTTTTCTAACTGAAACTAGCTTGAAACTAAAAAAAAATTAGCTTCTGACATTAAAAATCATTGTTTTTTTATTGATAAACTATTTTTAACATGTATTTTTCGGAGGGGGATGAAAAAGAAAATTGGATTAGAAATCCATTTTGTTCAAATGCACCTGAAATTTCATTTCGTGAAGAAAAATAACAAGAATTGATTAAAATTTCTGTGATCGAACTCTAAGTGAAGATTTCAAAAATAACACACTTGTTAACTTTTGGCTGAACCGAAAGAAGAATTTAAAGCATTTTAAATAAAGCTATTGAATTTTTATTGCCTTATTGCACAACCTATTTGTGTGACTGAGGGGTTTCTTCCGTGTTATATTTGAAAAATAAATTCAGAACAAAGTTAAAAGTGGATCCTAATTTACGGTTAAAACTAAGTAAAATAAGACCAGACGTAAAGAAACTGATCTCTCTTAAACAGGCCTAAATTTCACCCAAAATTTTAGAATTAAAATATTATGACTTAAATTTTGATAATTAAAATCGTAACCAATTTTTAATCTAATATTTTTTATGTGTACATATTTAATACAAATAGCCGATATGTTGTGCAAATGGCAAAATATATTTTTTCAATATTTCTATTGAAAAATAATCATTGTAATATGTAGTTGTGGTACTAAAGTTTGACACGTCCGATCTTAGATATTGGTATAGTTAGTAGGTAATCTGACGTATTGCTTACGGGAAGGCCCATACTGCAATATTATTTTAAAATTTAGGATTTATATTGTGGTACTACATGCACAGCAATAAACGCGAAATTGCATTCTTTATAATCATTAATTAACATATGTTATTCCTATTTTAAACTTTCTTTTAGCTTGATATCGCAACGATACTTATTGGGAATGAGCTGGCAAGCACTCTTCCCAAGTTAGTAGATACATTTGGAGATCGAGGCCCACCACCGGCCGAGCGGTAAAGTCGCTGTGGTAGTTCGGTAAGACGTTCGAATCCCGCGAACGGGCTGGCTGCATGGGCGTTTTCATGGTTTTTCCCCATGTGTAACGTATATACGAGCCAGATTCCTTTAGAAAGTACTCCACGAAAGCATCCCTCCCCTTAGGCAGATAGCTCTAGTGTGCTTTGCCATAATTAAATAAACCAAACCAAACCATTTGGAGATCCTTTAAAGGTTCGATTACCGTTTTCTGTGCTTCGATAATGGCCTAGACACAGAATAGCTAGATTAAAGCTGTATACTCTCTGCGTTTCGTAGAAAGAGAAATTTTGGGGCAAATGTTTTTAAATGAAATTATAAAAAAAAATTGTGGATTAAAAAAGGCTTCAGAATAAATATATCATAATATTCTTAAAATTCATGTCCATTCTGAGTTGTTAAACTTTGTAGCGAATTTGATTTTTTGATTTTTTGAAGTTTGATTTTTGACTGATATTAGCGTGTTCACAGAAGCGCGAAAACTTCTGAAAACTTCTGTTCAACAGAAGCGAGAAAACTGAAATTCTGAGTATGATTAAGCAATTAATTGTGCACCAGTAGATGAGCACAAGGACCAGTTTAAGACGTGTGTTGATGTCCGAGTCGAAAAATACGCTTTATTCAACCAATATTAAGTAATATATTATTAAAATTAATAACAGGAAAAATTTCAAAATGCTGATTTTACTCACTAATAGTTAGTGTTGTAAATAAATTTGTAACGAGAACAGAAGAGACTAAATGCAAGAAAGAACATAAGAAATATAAGAAATTCAGAATGCCATTTTGAACACTTTAAACCGTTACAAGAACATAAATAAATATATACACGTTAACAAAAACGTTACACTATCAGCACTTATGAAAAGTAGCAGATTTATCAAAATCAGTTTTCACATGTTCTCTTTCAGAAATTTTTACGTGTACACTGCGTCTGTGCGCTGTGTATCTGTATAATTTCACAATATCAAAAGGAAGCAGAAAAATACTAGCATAGTAGGAAGTCCACAGTAAATAATATAATTTGTTATCTTACAACCACAGTAAATAGTATAATTTGTTGATCTTACAACAGTGGATATCACTGGTGTACACCAAGCCTGTCGAATTCGCTGCTTGTGAGCCGCATACGTCCCTTGAATAATTTTTCTGTGGTCCAAGAATATAATAAAAAGTATGCAATTATATTATATTAATAAAAATTGGAACTTCATCCAGTATCATGGGTCCGCTAATCTCGGGTACTAAAAAGGACGGTTGAGTCGGTCGCTTTAAAAAAATATTCTCTCAACCGGTGTCAAGAAAGTACCAGGTCATTTACAGATGAAATTAATAGAAATTCAGTGCAACTCAACTCTAAATCAAATATTCAGTAAAGTGGGTAATCGCGAATTCTTCAAATATTTGCTTGCGTGATTCCCAGAAATTCGCAAATTTCATTGTACATTATTTCTATGTTCGGTAGTACGTATCAGTGTGAAAAAAGCGTTTCGCATTTATGAAAACGAACAAACTCCCAGCAAGGTGAAGGTTAACAGGTATTAATCTTGTTTCAGATGTGACATCGTTAGTCCAAGCATGTCTCCAAAAGCTGGTTCTAGGTTTGTTTGGCTTGGTATATTTGATTATGGCAAAGCATTTGAGACTATCTGTCTAAGGAGGGATGCCTTCGCGGAAGACTTTCTAAGGGAAGTTGGCTCGTATCCACTGTACACATTGGAGAAAAACACGGAAAAGCCCATTTAGCCAGTCCATTTGCCTGAAATCGAACCCAGGTATAACCATCAGTGTTCAGCGATTTTACCGCTCTGCCGCTGATTGTACGCCTGGTGCCGGGAGAGAAACAATAGGTATCCATATACTATAAAGTTTTCTTTATGTTCTTTCTCTCTATATATTTTTTTAAAGAAATAAAGTATTAGAGGAGATTTTATGTGGTAATTACTTTTTCAATGCACCATTGACTAAGAAAATAGCATTTTTCCTTTGCGCCCCGTCCTATTTTATGCTGATGACTATTTGGTTCATTTGAGGTGCAGAGTTTGACATGTGTAAACGATCATACTCTTTATATGAAACAAAAATGCGAAAAGTTTAAATATTTTTTTAATTGTTTTCATTTTTCTTAAAATAATTTTCTGTCGTTCTTTTTGAATTTCATTTATGTGAACTTCATAAAAAATTCATATATTTAATAGCATGAGATTTTTTGATGCTTAGACATTTATTTCTTTCAGTTATCAGCTTTGTGATCACATATATGCCACGGAGAGAGCGTTTAGATGCTTTAAGAAGGTCCAGAGATGCCCATCACTTGCCTTTAGCAATAAGCAAGCCAAAAAAAGAGGGAACAATTTTTCTCATGAAATTAAACAACTTGATTAAAAAGAAGGACAACGTCCGTTAATTATGGTAATTTTTTCAAGAAATAAATTCAAAATGCGGCTAAATTATTTTTAAAAAATATGATGTGGGCATCACATGACTTCTTTGTACGGCGTATTAAATTACACCCATTTTAGCTCTACTTCATTTAAATTTATTTTCTCAGATTATTATGACTTAACCTAATCCTGAAGACAAGTTGAAAATGAAATCACAAACTGCAAATTTTGAAATTAAATATCCCGGTTAATTTTTGTGGTACGGGAGTCAAGCTTCTTATAATTTTATTGCTTCGTAACCAGTACAATGCTTTCCCAAATATGTTAGATTTGTCCAAAATTAATTTTATTTTTAAATTTGACATGAGTAAAAGCTTAAATCAATGTCTTTTCAGACCTTAGTAGTGTGACAAGCGAGTTATCACTCCAGCCTAAACTAAGATGACAAATTCCTACGAAGATTAAAATAACATTTTAATTAATTCTTTAAATTTAACAAGAGACACCACTTGTACTCATAAAACAAAATTTCGTCACTTGCGCGTACTTAAAGAAACAGATGCTGAAGTTTAAAATGTAAGTATCATAGTCTGAAACTACATAAGCTGGCTCAAATACTTAACGAAGCACTTTTAATGTTGTCCAGAAAAAAGGCAAAACCTGGAATAAACTCTGGCATAGCTGGCGAGGAAGTAAACTAGACGCTAGGTTGCCGAAAATTCTGGCTCTAAGATGTTCAAATCCTCGGTTTAAATATTCACGTAGCCAATTTGCATTTTTCGTGATGACTATGGAAAGATGATGTTTCAAATAATAATAATTGGTTAATGAACATAAAATGCTTGCAGCATCCTCTGTTGTGTTTCCCATCTAGTAATTAACAAAGAACCATGAACGTATTGCGAACTAATTTAATGAAACGCAGTCAAGGCCAAAATAACAAATGTATCATTAATTTGTTTCTGTCTAATCATAAATAACAAGAGAAAGGCTCCTGAAATGAAATTCTAGTATTTGCTGAAAGAAGATTTATAATTGCTGGTCGTTAGCAGAAGTTTAAACTAAACATTAAAACAAATGTAAAAAAAATAGTATGAAAAGCATTCCAAATATTTGTTTACCTTAGTTACATCGTTGTTACAGTCCCGTCGACACGTAGATCTTTCGGCACATACGTGTGGAATCTGATGATAGCCAAAAAAAGTGCCGAAAGATCTAACTGAAGTAAACAAATTTCTGACCGAAGCAATTTTTTTTAGTTTAATAGTTAGCTGTTGTTTAGTTTCATTTATCTGAGGAAGATAAATGGATTGGATTGGACTGGATTATTTAATTATGGCAAAGCAAACGAGGGCTATCTGCCCAAAAGGAAGCGATGCCTTCGTAGAGGACTTTCTAAGGGAAACTGCCTCGTATACACGTTACTGAGGAAAACCACGAAAACGCCCATGCAGCCAGCCCGTTCGCGGGATTCGAACCTCGGACCGAACTACCAGTGTTCAGCGTCTTTACCGCTGGTGGGCCAGGAAGATAAACGTCAAGGTGAAAATTATGGTAGCGGTAAAGATGACAGACGATGATGATGACGATCTTTTCCAAATTATTTCCCTTTTGTGCCCTTTTGCGTGTTCGTATGAAATTTAACATATACGAATCAAACGTTTGAAAATTCTTTTAATGCAAATTTAAGTAAGTTAAGTTAATGTTTAAGGCATTGGAGCTTAGTGCCAGATTTTTCTCTATTTTTTGCTTTATAATCCGCTTAATTACATGATTTTATTTACTGATCTTACAGCATGAATCTAAAGATGTAAAACAACCGATAATTGATTAGCGCAAAATTTTTATTCAATGAAGATTGGTTTACTTGATTATGATAAAGCACTCGAGGGCTATCTGCCTAAAGGAAGGCCTGTGAGGAAGATTTTCTAAGAGAAAAAGGCTTATATACACGTTACACATGGAGAAAACTTCGAAAACGCCAATGCAGCTAGCCTGTTCGAGGGATTCGAACCTTGGACCGAATTACATCTGTTTAACAACTTTACCAATCAGCCTCTGGTGGGCTCATTAGTGAAGAATGAAACTAGGAAATCTTAATGATTGTAGGGTTAGAGCGTAATTCGTAAAGCTAATTTGGTTACTCTATGTACCTTTAAATAGGAGAACTAATTCTCAGATTCGAATTGTTAATGATTTCTTGAATAAGCTAATTTTAATAAAAATGACGGTATTGCCTCAAAGTTTTACCTGTTCTGTCTTATATACTTATTTATAGAATTTATCTCATATAAAAATATAGATTTAGATTTACAAAATATGATTACTTTAGAATAATTGTGTCTTTTTATAAATAAAATATTTAGGGTTTTGGTTTGGTTTTATTAGATTACGGCAAAGCACTCGAGGACTATCTGCCTTAAGGGAGGGATGCCTTGGTGGAGGACTTTCTAAGGGAAACTGGCTCGTATACACGTTACACATGGTAAAAACCACGAAAACGCCCATGCAGACAGTACGTTCGCGGGATTCGAACCTCAGTGTTCAGCGACGTTACCACTCGGCCGCTGGTGGGCTAAAATATTTATGCATATATATATATATGATAGTATTATATTTATGGTATGCATAGTATGTAGTATAGTATGTATTTTATGGTAGTAATTATCTACTTCTCTCCTTTTATTTTCATAAAAGTAAAATTAAGTAAAGTTAAGCCCAAGTAAAATGAAGTTTCTTTATAATTTCTTTGAGATTTCAATTTTTTCATCAGTTTAAATAACATACAAAAATTATCTAATTAGCATGTTTATTGTGATACGTATTTTTTTTTTAAAGCTGTTAAATTAACTTCGAATGATGTGTACGACATGTTGCCCGGCCGACATTGTTTAGCAAACATATTAACATATAATAACTATGGGTAAAACGACTGCGTCTTTTAAGTAATTTTTTCTGTTTAATTATAGCCTTCTTGGAGAGATGATAGATTAATAACTGAGTTTTAACTCCACTCTTGCTGGACTGTAATTACTTTAATAATACGTATTATATTGTTGATTTGTTTTCTTAATTAGTTTGTATCACTAAAATATATTAGTTTAATAAAAACAGGTTAGGCTTTATGTTTTTACTCAAATATAAATAATTCCTTCTGCAGGTGTAGGCTTCTGGTCAGTAGAATATTTTGACGTGCGAAGATATGTTAACATCAGAAATTCAGTTGATGAAATAAACACATATATTTTGCTAATAAAATATTCTAATATGTTATGAACGTAACAGCTTAGAGCTGCATTTGCATATAATAAATGTGAATAGTATAAGGATATTTGCGATCTGACATGAAGACAAACATTTAATGTTGATTATTGCTAAGGTAGAGAAATGAAAAGTATGAATTACTAACGCCCTCTAACAGAGAAAATAAATACCATTTTAAAAGAATTTTTATACAGTTCAAGTAAAACAAGATCGTTCGTTTCGTTTTACGGATTAGGAAATTAAAAATTAATTCTAGTATTTTGTAGGGTATTTTTTTCCTGCTTCGTGAGAAAGCGCGCCAGGTGACAAGCCCCAGGAACGGATTTCGAATGCCGGAGAGAAAACTGCTGATTTTTCATGTTTCCTGCCCCGAAATAAACATTATGTCTCTACAGTGGCGCCCGAACTAAAATATGGTGAAGATTATTCGTCACCACAAGGATTTGGCGAGTGGGTTCCTGCCCTCGCGACGTGCATTTTAAGTGGGGGAGAATGCGAGGTATTTTCTTCCTTCTTACCGCATACTTTCATGGTGTAACTGGAAGCATGTCCGGCTAGCAATCAGGAGGCCCAGAGTTCGAGTCCCGGGGAAGGCATCGCACATTTTTCATATTTCTCCCACAAACCTAATGACTTTACTGTTTATCTTAGTTGAAATAGAAATTTAGTGTGTGTTTATGGAATTGATAAATGGTTCCATAGTTTTATTTTGTTCAAAAAAAGATGTTTTCACTTTCATTACAGTAAACACCCTATTTACAAATCGATTAACTCCATAAAACAAAAAGTGGAGAAATGCAATGAAATAATATATGTTGTTTTTTTAATTCCCTTTAAAATATTAATTCAAATAAATATTGTAAAGTGTACAAGTACAGATATAACTTTCATCTAACGCTATATAAAACTAATAAGAAAGAATAGCCAAAAAGTAATCATCAGTAATGTTACAGTTTTTATGTGACTGGGCAAGTTAATCGATTTGGTAAGTGAGAAAAGTAATAAAATTAAATTCAGTGTTCAAATTTTTTAGTTTCTTATTATATAAAAAGATAATTATTATATATTTTTGTTACATATTTTCGTAAAACTGAATATTATCCGATTTGTTATAACATATTTTTTGTGATTAACTCTTCAGCGATATAAATGATGTTTTCTTCCTCATCTATATGTGAAAATTCATCATTTCGATTTGTTCTCAAGTTTTTATACTAATCATATTTAACAGCAGGAACGAATTTCAGCAGTTCCACCATGCCTGTTATGTTACGTAAGGCGTTACGTTCGAACAATGGCTAGCTCAGAAGGGATTCGTAAGTCATCTACCCGATGAATTAACAGCTATCTTGTCATAAATGGAGTACTTCATTGAAACTAAGCAAAAAGATTTATTTACACATAAAGACAAGTTAAAAAGAATATGAAATATTATCTAGCTACAATATCTATCTAGCCACATCATGCAAACATCGTTCTTAGCTAAATAAACCGGAACTGTTCGTTTTCCTCTGGCGTCCCATGACGTCAGTCTCTATCTGGCTTTTGATTCGTTGGCTTAGTGATGCCATTCCCAACAATGCCTTTTCTTTTTCCCCTTGTTACAGTTCTACCTTTAGAATATCATAAAGGCTGATCTACTTTTTTAAAACTTTGCTGTCTACCTGTTGCAGATTTACTTAAATGACATTAAATTCTACTTTATGACATTAAATTCTACTTTATGACATTAAATTCTGAATCTTCATTATATTCACATTTGAA